AACATATTTATTTTTATATGGTTGGATTCACTTTACCAATATTTTTAAAGTATTTTTGTCTCTTTGATCATGAGTGATTTTGATCTGTAGTTTTCTTTTTCTTTTTCTTTGTAATGTTTTTTGTCTGTTTTGGTATCAAGGTAATGCTTAAATAATTAGTCGGGGAAAGTTCCTTCTGCTTCAATTTTCTTGAAGAGTTTGGTAGAATTTGTAACATTTCTTCCTTAAGTGTTTGGTCCAATTCACCAGTGAAGCCATTTGGCCTGTTTTCTTTATAGGAATGTTTTAGACTACAAGTTCCAGTTCTTTTGTTCATAGAGGGCTATTCAGATTATCTATTTCTTCTTGTGTGAGCTTTGGCTGCACAAACCTTTCAAACAATTTTCCATTTTGTCTAAATAGTCAAATATATTGACATAAAATATACTCAAGAGGTTTTTTCATTATTCTTTTGATGTCTGTAGGGTCAGTAGTGATTTCACTCCTTTCATCTTTTTATATTGATAATTTTTGTCTCCTCTCTTTTTTCTTGATCAGCCTGGATAGAAGTTTATCAATTTTATTGATACTTTCAAAGAATCAGCTTTTGATTTCCTTGATTTTCTCTATTATTTTTCTGTTTTTTATTTCATTGATTTCTGCTCCCATCTTTATTATTTTTTCTTTAGGTTTAGGTCCTTTACTTTGCTTGTAATGTAATTTTGTCTGCTGACTATGAATACTTTTATCATTTGCATGACTGAATAATCTTTATTTCTGTTGCATTTTTTTCTTTTTTTTTTCATTTATTTTCTCTGGGCATATAATTCTAGATTGGCATTTTTTACTTTCAGTTCTTCTGTTAATCTTGTCTTTGTTCCTCTCTATGTAATGTGTCTGTTTTTTTCCTTCCAACTGCTTTTATAATTTTCTATTTATTGTTGCTTTTCAGCATTTTGATATAGTACTTTGATATATTTTTCTGTATTTTTTTAATAGTTGGGGTTTGTTAAGCTACTTAGAAGTACAGATTCATTCTTTTCATCATATTTGAAAATTTGGGGTTAATATTTCTTAAATATTGGTTACATCTGCCCCTACACCCAACCTCTTCTTTTCCTTCTGGGACTCTGACTTCAGGTTTGATATTTCTCACAGCTTATTGAAGCACTATTCAATTTTTTCAGTCTTTTTTCATTGATTCGTTTTGGATGGTTTCTATGCCTGCAAGTTCTCAAGTCTCTTCTTCTGCAGTGTCTAGTCTGCTGTTGATTCCGTCTAGTGTATTTTTCATTTAGATATTGTATTTTTCATTACCTTATAGTTTGAATTGGGTGTTTTTATATCTTTGGTTTCTTTCCTCACCATACTTAGGTTTTCCTCTATCTTCTTGAACATGTGAAGTATATTTATAATGGCTATTTTAATGTGCTTATATCCTAATTATCTCATTTGTGTGGTTTTTGTATATATTTCTATTGATTGATTTTTCTCCTCATTATGGTTTGTTTTGGCTCCCTCTATTTGTGCTGTGGCCTAGAAATTTTCCTGCCTCTTTGCATGCCTGGAAATTTTTATTGGATTATAGACATTGAGAGATTTATGTTTTAGAGCACTGGATAATTTTCCTTTCCTTTAAATATGTCTGCACTTTGTTCTGGGAGGCAGTTAAGTTGCTTGGAATTTGTTTGATCTTTTGAGGCTTTCCTTTAAGGGTTGTTAGGTTGGATTTAGAACAGGCTGCAGTGTAGGGTCCATTTGCATCACTAGTGAGATTATACTTTCTGAGGACTCTACTTGACAACTTGTGTGTTAGAGGTCATTCCATTCTGGCCAGTGAGAACATGAGCTGTTCTGGGCCCTGTGTTACCTCTAGAGATCACTCTGTTTACTCCTTTCTGGTGGTTCTTTCCTTGGCCCTGGTAGGTTCCTCACATATACTCAAAGATTAGTAATCAGCAGAAGATTTAAGGATACTCATCTTCAAATAATAAAAGCTCCCTCTCTTTGCAGCTCCCTCCTCTTTGGTACTCTGTCCCAAACTATGTCTTTTCAACTCGGGATGGCCATAGGCTCTGTTTGGTTGCCTTTCCTCATGCTGTGGACTGGAAACTCTCTCCAGGCCGTGAGCAGGGGCACTTGTGGCTCACCTCACTTGTTTCCCTTCTCACAGGGATTGCTGTCTTGCACTGCCTGTTCTTCAATGTATGATAACCATTGCTTAATACATTTTGTTCGTTTTCCTATTTGTTTAAGGTAAGAGAATAAATACCATCCCTGTTATTCCATTATTGCCAGAAACAGAATTCACAATGACTTTTTTTTTTTTTTTAAAGATTTTATTTATTTTATTTTTTCCCCCCAAAGCCCCAGTAGATAGTTGTATGTCATAGCTGCACATCCCTCTAGTTGCTGTACGTGGGACTCGGCCCCAGGATGGACGGAGAAGTGGTGCCTCGATGCGCGCCCGGGATCAGAACCCGGGCCTCCAGCATCGCAGCGTGCGCACTTAACCACCAAGCCACAGGGCCGGCCCTCACAATGACTTTTGATATTGATTTATTTAATCCAAAAATCGTGCTTAATTATTTTATTAATTGTAATAATTTATCTATAGATTATTTTGGATTCTTTATACAGAAAACTGTGTAATCTGCAAATAAAATAACTATTGTTTCTTTATTTCCAGTCCTCATATTATTATATTTTTTCCCCTATATTTTTACACGGGTTACAACCACTAGTATAATGTTAAATAAAATGAATATAACAACATTAATATTTTGTTTCTGAACTTACAGGGAATATTTTCAAAATAATTGCAATAAGTATGATGTTTACTCTGTATGCATTTTATCAGATTAGTAAATTCTCTATTTTTAAATCATGAGTATAATAACTTTCTGTATCCATTAATATCATATGATTTTTCTCCTTTTAATTTTATTTTCTCCTTATAATATTTATTTTTTATTTTAATTTATAATTTTAATTTAATTTTCTGATATTAAACCAAACTTTCCTTCTTTAATATAACCGAGTTTGTTGTGATGTGTTAGTTTTATAGATTGATGGATGTAGTTCACTATTATTTTGTTTGAGAGTTTTCCATCTGTCTTCCTAAGTCAGATTGAAGTGTAATTTTCCTTTCTTTTTCTTTCCCAGTCACCTTTTGGTATGATGGTCATCCTAACTTCATGCAATGAGTTAAGACATGATCCCTTATTTTTCTTTTCTCTGGAAAGTCTTGTGAAATTTGGAAGTACTTTTTCTTTTAATATTTGATAGAATTCCCAATAAAGCCATCAAATATATTGCTGAAATCAAATCCTTTTCAATAGCTCAGCATTCCTCCTAAAAGCAGTGAGGTCGATTTGATATATTTTTCTTAGCATCTGTATTTCTTTCTGTTTTTAAAATTTAGAAGATTTTCTCATCTTTAGTATAAGTGGTCCTATTTTTAGGGTTTCCTAAAATCCTTAGAAATGGCTCTGATATAACAGCTATGGTTCTTTCAGTGTCCTGGGACAATAATTCTCTGTCTATACTGGAAATAGCTCAGAGGAGCTATGTATTCTCTGGTTCTCTTCACATATATTTTTTGGTAATTTTTTATGATGTTTGATTTCTTTTATAGTTTTAATATTTATCTTCTTAAATGAGGAAATATTTTTCTTTTCTCTGTTACCTGTTAAATGATATTTTTCAAGAGATGGGACTACCCCTTCTTTGTTGATCTCCTTGCAACAAATGATATTAAAAATATTTTATAGTAAACCATAATTCATTGCCAAGACTAATAAAAAAAGACAGAGACGTGAAACAAACAAACAATATCAGGAAAGAAAAAGAGATATTACCAGATTCTATATACATTAGACATATACAAGAAGATATTAACAAATTTAGGCCAATAAATTTGAAAAGTTAGATGAAGCAAATTCCTAGGAAAAATAAACTTACCAAAAGGGACATATGGAGAAATACAATAGTCCTGTATACTAAGAAATTTGAATCCATATTTAAGAATTTTCTATCAAAGAACACTTCAGGCCAGATGGCTTCACCAAATATATAAGGAAAAAATGACAGTAGTCACCCACAAAAGTCATTTCATGCATACATATTTAAGATATAAAATCCAATTATATTTTTATATAATTTAAAAGATACTATATATCATACTCAAGAGCATAGAAATGTCACTTCTACCCAAATTTATTTTTAGATGAAATTCCAATTAAAATTTCAGCAAGTGTTTTTCCTGAAAGTTTTCAAGCTAATTTTATAATCAGATTGAAAATTCAAATGGCCATGAATAGCCAAATGTAGAATGTAGAATGTAGAATCAAGTTGGAAGATTTACACTATAATAAAACAAATTTTATTAGAAAGCTACAGTAATTAAGACAGTGTAATATTGTTATAACAATAGATAAATAGACCAATTGGTTAGAAAACAATATACACATATAAATTGAAATTTTGATTTATGTCAGCACAGGAGAATAGTGAGGAAAGAATGGTCTCTCAATAAAATTGGATATCCACATAGAAAAAAATGAACCTGGGCTCCTATCTCAGGTCATACACAGAAATAAATTTCAGATATATTGTTAATCTAAATGTGAAAAGTAAAGCATGAAAGCTCCCAGAAGATAATGTTGAAGAATAACTTCATCATTTGCGATAGACAGAGATCTCACTCAAGACTCAAAAAAGTAGTAACTATATGAAAAACAGTTGATAAATAGAACTACATTAAAATTAAAATTAAATAGAATTACGTAAAAATTAAGGACATCTCTTTAACAGAGGCACCGTTAAGAGAATGAAAAAGTAAGCCACAATTTGGGAGAAAATTTTTGTGGTGCATATAAAAGACAAATGACTCACATTCAAAATATATAAAGAATTAAAATCAATAAAGAAAAGAGATAACTCAATAGAAAAATGGGCAAGAAATTGAACACCCACCTCAGAAAATCAAATATGCAAATGGACAATAAATATTTAAAGATATGTACAACCTCATTAGGCATCAAAGAAATGTAAAATATAATCACAATGAGATACCACTATATACCCAACAGAAGAGCTGAAATGAGAAAGACTGGACAATAGAGAAAAGTTAGAGCAAAGAAATCCTCCTACATAGTTGGTGGGAATACAATTGGTACAACTGTTTTGACAAAACTGACAATGTTAGCTAAAGCTGGACACGCAAATAATCTAAGCACTTGCACATATGTATGACGAAAGAGGGGTGTGTGTGCGTGTGTGTATGTGTGTGTGTGTGAGAATGCTCATAGTATTGTTTTTAATAGCCACAAGCTAGAAACAACCTAAATGTCTATCAATAGAATGAGTATATAATTTAAGATGCTTTAAGTGGGTAGTAAATTTTTGTAGTATTTGCAGAATATGAGGGCAGACATCTAGACACACAAATAGTTAAATATTTTGACAATGCCCAGTTAAAAGGAAGCTTCCAATAGTGAGAAAAAATGAGGAAAAGTCTCCCAAAATAGTTGCATCAGCTGTGAAGAGAAGATTTGATCATAGCTCATGTACAACTTCAGAATCATGTTGCAGGAGATATTGCTCAAAGGCCCCATAGGTGGTCTATGAATAATCGGCGCTTTGGGTCAAATAGCCTTAATCCTGAGTACTTGGACAGAAAGTCATGGGCAAGTTATAATTTCCTCAAAGTGAAACTTCAACAAAGACATAGGATAATGTCTCCAGGGAAACTAGGGCTTTGGATTCTCTTCTCATGATTCTGGGTCAGGAGAAACTAAACTCTCATTTTTAAATTCTCTTAAATAGAGATGAGAGTTTAAGGTGACAGAATTACCATACAGAGAAGGAGAAGAAGTAACAGAAGACTAACAAGCACAGCATAATTGGCCTGTAGAGATTTTATCTCTGAGGGAAAAGAAAGTTACTTTTTCCAAATCCCACATCTTGCCCAGGCATGCTCTTCCTGGGGCAATGCTGGCCTTCTGTCCTGAAGGTAGGGCAGTCATGCTCAGAGGCTTTCCAGTGGGTTCTTAGGACCATGAGTCAGGAAATCAGGGTTTCCTTAACCCACAGCCTCTTCCTAGGCTTGTGTGACAATTGGATTGAATTTGGTCACTGGAGAGACAAGTGTCCCATTTTGGCAACTGGTTTTAGGAAAACACATTTTAGGTAGCCAAACTGAGGAGAAAGTTCTTTGGGATACCTCTGAGAAGTGAAGCATCTAACACAGGTCTTTGAATTCATGGGAATCACTCGGTGTGGCTACCACAGGTTGTGTTTCCTGTACCACATTGCACCCCTCAGCACCTGCCCACTCCTGGAATCTGGACCAGAGGACAGATTTGTGTTGACTGGCGGGTTCTTAAATGATGATGGTCAGAAGGTAACTTCATCTGGATAACTGGATTTAAACTTCATGTTGCTCCAAGAAGTGTAGGCAATGCATAAGGAAATGGGGATGGGATTGGGAGAGCAACTTAGCCAACTAACATTTTTGGGAAATCTCAAGCTTTCCAAGTGGCTTCTTTTTTGATAAGAATATCTGTGATGTGTAACTTTAGGAAGCTTGAATCACAATTCCAGAAAAAAGAGGTGGTGCAGGAATGCTGTTAAATTACTGTTATTGTCAGTTATAACACCTCCAACTTACTTTTGAAAATCTGTCTTAAATTTTTATTTACATATCAAATTTTCCAAAATGTTCCAAACATTTTATTTACTTTTTAACCCTTTTTTGGATCAAAAAATCATTATTTTTACTATTGGTGTTATATCTTTATTCCATATCATCCCTACTTCCCTCCCTCCGATGAATTAGGCCAGACTTGAATGTATACTCCCTTTAGATAGATGAAGAAAGTAGGTAATGAGGACTGACTTGAGAAATGCAAGGTTATTGGCAAAGCAGTTCATTCACTCCCAGAGAGAGACACTTGAAGAAATGTAAAGATGATACAGAAACATGATATGTTAACCATGGGTGTTTCTATTTGTAATCAATACCTTCCTGGGCCTTTCAGGGGAATTACTGACCCAAGATCAGGGATTACTACATTTTTTTTTGTCAAGCCCTTCACTACTTATTGTTAATTTTTAAGAAGCGAAAGACACAAAACTCCAAGAGATGATCATCAGATTTTCTAACGAAGTTTCCTTATTTGGTACCTAAGAATACATTGAATAATCATCAGCTACCTCCTGCACTGTTTTTTTTTTTTTCTTTTTGTTTTAGCCCTTTGCTGGTGAAGTTCCTTTATGTGAATTGTTTCGTATATTACAGCAGAATTATAGACTACCCCATTCACCTTCCCAGGACTAGCTCATAAAATATTATCTGTCTCTGGTCAAGTTCCTCTGATGTTCCCAGGCCCTGATTTTTCCCCTTTGAGGTCGCTTGTCTCTCTCTTTTGTACCTGAAGACTTTGACAGGGATACTTTCATATTCCAACTTTTCCTTTTTCATTAGGAATAAAAAGGCAAGTTTCCTCTTTCTTTGATAGAAATATTACAAAGTGACCTGCTAACCTTTTAAAGCTCTAGAGTAAAGTTTAAAGAATTAAACAACATTTATGGGGCTGGCCCAGTGATGTAGTGGTTAAGGTGGTGCGCTCTACTTTGGTGGCCCAGGGTTCGTTGGTTCAGATCCTAGGTGCAGACCTACACACTGCTCATCAAGCCATGCTGTGGCAGTCTCCCACGTACAAAATAGAGGAAGATTGGCACAGATGTTAGCTCAGGGACAATCTTCCTCAAGCAAAAAGAGGAAGATTGGCACAGATGTTAGCACAATCTTCCTCACTAAAAAAAAAAAAAAGAAAGAAAGAAAGAACATTTTGTACTTTTTTTTTTTTGCTGAGGAAGATTCACCAACAGCTGTTTGGGGCTGGCCTCTGGACATTTTGTACTTTTATTGCCTCCCCTTGTTGTAACTTGCATAAATAATCTCTTGGAGTGGGAATGGTTTAGCAAGTTTAACTGATTCATAGATAAAGAAAGGATTATCATATGCCAATGCCCATAGACCCTTCTCTCCAGGCTAATCCACGTCTCTGTACCCTATCTGCACCTTTATCTGCAGCTAGCTACCCTCATCAATCCCCTCAACACAAAGCGTGATTCTCATCACATATTCAATAGCACTACCTGATCACAGACAACAGGCAGAGAATATCTCCGTGGAACACTTGTGGATGAGGTTCACTTTCTCCACCCAAAGGGCAGAGTAATTAGAGGGACAGAGTATGTGGGAAGTCAAGAGTGGGGTTGTTCAGTCCACGAGGTTTTGGAAATCACTCGTGATTTGAATAATATACAAACAAGATTACTAATAGTTCCAAAGAAAATTTCTGAATACTAGAGCCCTTGAGCTTTCCAAAATACTAATGTATCTACAGGATTAGAAAGTTTGGGGATGGTGTTGAGCAGACTGGAACACTACCTTCTGGTCATGTGAGTCATGGTAGAGGGAGAATAGCACAAAGATGAGAGAAGTTTCCTAAGGGGAAAAATAGTCAAATATTTCAGATGGGGATAAATAAAGGAGGGGTTAAAGGAGAGATAATCAACAGTCATTTCACTGAGTTGGTTCCAATTAATTATTTTCCATTACACCATAGTCTCCAAACCATAACTTTCACTATCTAAGATACATAAAAATAGACTCAGTGGGAATGTGCAACCAGTTTGCCATTATCTTTTAGTTAATAGGCTAATATTGAGCTCTTATCATTTTTTAGGGAAGAGAGTTAATGCATCTTTGACTTTATTTCTTGACAGCCATACCCTGTTGTCTACCCATGCTCTGCTGCTCTTCTGAAGGAGGAAAATAACATTGTAGGCTCTTTCCTCTCATCCTCTCACCCAGATAAGAGACAAGCAGGTGAAGACTTCTCAAAACTGAGCCTGATCATCTGGGCCTTCGTTCTTTTTTCCACTGACTCTAAAATGTAATTTTGACAATTTTTTGCTGCTTAAAAATCTATTTTATATTTGCTACTTTCTGACTTGTAACTCCCACATTTCTGATTTTAAAAGGGTGAAAATTGACTATCTCATTTTCATAGTCAGAGAATGCAGAAGTAAAAATGTAAATTTTAAAAAACTGTTCATACCTGTTAGGTTCCATTCAATATGAATTTTGAAATAGTAAGGAGGGAAAAACTGGTATCCAACAAAGAAGTAAATAAACCCCATGGTTAGGAATTGGCTTTATAGAAGAGAATCACATTTTATAGTTAATCATTTTAACTCAGATCTCTAAGAATTTTAATAAAACCTTTCCTACTTATGGAAGGAGAAAAGAAGAGTTTTCTTTTTTCCTTGAATCTGAGCCCCATCAATGGGTTCTATTGTGGTCCCAAATCCTGAATGAGACATAGAATCTGGGAAACCATACCACTTAATATTAGATGGCTGTTTGGTCTAAATGACCTTATAAGGCTGTCTGCCACATTAAGTGTCTGGTAGTTATTGATTTATAACGAGGGTTTGGTCTTCAGAGGCTCATGGGCAGGGAAAACCAGACATGGATGAGTGAGCTCATTCTGCTGGGGCTGTCCAGCTGCTGGGAGACTCAGGTCTCCCGCTTCGTCCTTTTCCTGGCTGTGTATCTGGTGACCGTGCTGGAGAACTTTCTCATCCTCCTCCTTATCAGAATGGACAGCAGGCTAAATACACCCATGTAATTTTCCTCAGTGTCCTGTCATTTGTGGACATCTGTTATTCCAACAGCACTGTCCCACAGATGCTTATTCACTTCCTGTCAGCCTTGAAGTCGATCCCCTTCCACAGCTGTTTGCTCCAGCTGTCCATCTCCCTGGCAATGGGCAATACAGAGTTCTTCGTACTGGGAGCCATGGCCTATGACCACTATGTGGCGGTGTGCCACCCACTGCACTACACAGTCATCATGCACGGAGGGCTGTGCTGGGGGCTGGCTGCTGGCTGCTTGGTGGCTGGTTTCACGAATTCACTGACGCAGACAATCATCATCTTTCAGCTATCTTTGTGTCGCAATATTATTAACCACTTTGCTTGTGAGATGTTGGCTGTGCTGAAGCTGACCTGTGTGGACATCTCCTTCAACAAGGTCATAGTGGCGATCTCAGGCTTTCTGGTGATCATGCTTCCCTGTTTTCTGGTCCTATTCTCCTATGGTCGTATAGTTGTTGCCATTCTGTGTAGTCGCTCTGCCCAGGAACGCCGCAAAGCATTTGGGACTTGTGACTCCCACTTCACTGTGGTTTGCATGTGCTTTGGAACAGTCATTTTCACGTACATGAGACCTTCAGCTGGCTCCTCAGCAGAACAGGAGAAGACAGTTGCTCTGTTCTATGCTGTGGTGACCCCAATGCCGAATCCTTTAATCTACAGCTTGAGGAACAAGGAGGTGATGAGTGCCCTCAGAAGAGTGTTGGAAAAAGTTCGTGAAAAAAGATAAAGATTCGAAGAATTTCTCTTTTCCTCCAAAGCCCAAAGAACGACATTCCAAACAAAGAGAAAATGATTGACAGGCCCTTTCTCCTTAGATTTGCTGATAAGGTGGACCATGGTGAGCAAGTTTTTGTAGACTGACTTTCCACATAAGTACACATATTATACATATGGTAAAAAAAACAAAGCCTTCAATTATTAAACTGGGGTGTGCTGGGGTATCTGTCCTCCTCAACTTCATATTCCCTCTTTCCCTTTCATATTCCTCCTGCATATTCCCCCAGGAAATGCAGTGTGGACAGTGAAGTGCTTCAGAGTAAGAACAGCCACACTTCATGTCTTGACCTCACCTCTCACCAGCAATGTGGCTTTGAAAAATGTACCTAATATCTCTGACCTCCAGTTTCTTCAACTATAAAAAGAATTAATAATATCTGGTATGTGTAATTATCTTGAAGGTTATAGCTAGTAGAGTAGCTGGCATAGAGTAGATATTCAACTATATATATATATATATATATATTTTTTGCTGAGGAAGATTCACCCTGCCTTAACCTCTGTTGCCAATCTCTCTTTTTTTTCGCTTGAGGAAGATTAGCCCTGAGCTAACATCTATGTCAGTCTTCCTCTATTTTGTATGTGGGACGCTGCTACAGCATGGCTGGTGAGTGAGGTAGGTCTGAACCTGGGATCTGAACCAGCAAACCTGGGCCGCTGAAGCAAAGCGCAAGGAATTTTAACCACTCGGCCATGGGGCCGGCCCCTCAGCTGTTTTTATAAGTAGCTTTTAGGACACAATTACAGGGCTAAGCATTATGCAAACTTTTCTCTCTATACAATTATTGAAAATGAACTTTTTTCCTATTGCTTTGGCTATAGTGGATTACTGTTCTGTGTCTGCTCCAGGTGATGTTACCCAGAACCATGGCATCTATCTATCCATCCATCCATCTGTCAAATCTATCCATCATCTATTTATCGATCTAAGCTCAAGTTCTTATTTTTTTTAGTGCCAAGCAGACAAGACCTTTCTCATGAGCTCCAAATACATATATGCAATTGTTTGCTTAACACTGTCACTTACATCAAATGAATCTCATTCTTAACATAGTTAAAATATAGCTATTGTGTTTGCTTCCTCTGTTCTAAGCTACTCCTTTCCTCTTGCCCCAGTATGCCTTCACTGTATTAGTAAAAGGAACCATATACGCTCAGAATGATTCTTGATTCCTTTCTTCTATACCCAATACATCAGTAGATTCCATTAGCTTTATCAACAAATATGTGATCAATCTGGTCTCTCTGTTTCCACCTCTGCTTTCTACCTTTTATTCTTTCACAACAGCTTTACTTTTGTGTGTGTGTGTGTGAGGAAGATTAGCCATGAGCTAAAATCCATTGCCAATCCTCCTTTCTTGCTGAGGAAGATTGGCCCTGGGCTAACATCCATGCCCTCTTCCTCTACTTTATATGGGACGCAGCCACAGCATGGCTTGATAAGCAGTGCATATGTCCGCACCCGGGATCTGAACCCATGAACCCCAGGCCTCCAAAGCGGATTGCAGGAACTTAACCACTATGCCACGATACCGGCCCCAACAGCTTTACTATTTAAAAAAATTATTATGTGTTTTTGGATTTTATGTTGTAACATAAAGCACAGAGGCATAAAATTACACTAAACAAATGTGTATTTATTTAGTGAATTATTAAAAGACAAACCCCTTTGTAACGACCGCTGAAGTCAGAAAACAGAACTGCTGGCTCTCGCAGAAGCCCCTACATGTGCATCGTCCTAATCATAACTCTTTTTTTCCCCAAAGCAACTGCTATTCTGACCTTTGTAGTAATCACTTTCTTGCATTTCTTTATGGCTTTATTACCCAAGCAAACATCCCTACTCACTGCAGATTAGTTTTGCACATTTGTTTTCAACTTGATATGTCTTTAACCTATAGGTCCCCTCCAACTCTTTCTTTTCCCTACAATTTATTTGAATGACTTGGGCCATTTGGCCTGCAGACAGCACCTTTATCTTAGACAATAAACCAGGTTGCATTTTTATGTCGCTTAGAATAAAATCCGTGCTCCACACAGGTATGACCTGATGTGGTCCAGCTGCCGCCTGCTCCCTCGTCTGCATTTCCATCCCTTCCTCCTCTCTTTTATTGCTTTCAGAGCTTGCTCGTTGTCTGTCAGGGGTCCAAAGCAAACAGATAAATCTCTATAAGAGGAAAATTTATTTTCTACAAGTTATACACATTCATGGAGAAAATAATTATAGACCTGTAAGTTTTTTGTGTGTGAAATCTGAGACTTGTCGAAAGTATTAATAATTTACTAATAAATAACAATAAATTTAGTAATAAATACTGCCTTTCACTGGAAATTCTGAATCCTATCAGTTAGCATCATGAATAATTGTGCTAAAATTTCTGAGTAAAATCTTAAAAGCGAAAGTGTTTTGATTCCCACTTTTTAAAAGAAGAAAATCCAAGTTTTTGCCTTGGAGAAGGCAAAATGTTGCATTGACCAGTTAGACTGTAAGCTTCTGGAGAGCAAGGACTATGCATTTTATCATATTTGTCAATTCCAAGTGCCTTAACAATGCTAAAAAATTCCTGCTGACTAAAGAATTTATTGATTGAAACTTTCTTTACTATTTTAGGAGTTGCCTTTTATGAAGTATATAAAGATACATATATAAGTTGGAATTTAGGACATTAGTAAATAAGGGTTTAAAAAAATTCTCAGATGCAGAGTTGAGTTAATCGGTAAATAATACTCCTCAGTATGGAACGTTATCATCTGCACAGGGCCTGATTTTCTTTTTTCTCATTCTTTACTCTTATTTCCTCCTTGCTATATGGACAACTATTCTAATGTGTTAAATGCATAAGATTGTGTTCGAGAGTGCATTTACGTATTTTTAAAAAGTTCATTATATTGTTAACTACTCACTCTGTGTCTTAGTTTTTTTCACTCAAGACTATAATTTTACATAGATGTATTGCTAGTCCATTACTTCTAACTGTTCGGAGTAATCCATGGTGTTCACCATATTTTTTATCACTCTTCGTTATGGCACCCAACTCCCCACCACCACATACAGCTCTATGATGAATATCACAATACATGAGCACTTAAAGACCTGTGTGAGCATTTATTTAGAGAATATATACAGGAGCCAAGTTGCTAGTTCACAGATGATTCTCTCCAGAATGGCTTTATAAGTCTGTATTCCTACTTCAATGCAGGAGGGTTCTTCTCTATCCACTACCTGCATGTTTTGCATTTTTTCTAGCCTAAAAGATATAAAATTGTTTTATTTTGTATTACTCTTATAAGTAGTCAGTATGAACATGTCTTTATATGCTGAAATCCTGATTCCCATCTATCTTCACCCCAAACTGTTCTATCCATGCCTTCCCCAACTCAGTTCATGATAACTCCATCATTGCAGCTCTCTTTTTCTCACATCTGATCCAAATCAGCAAGAATATCCTATTGTCTCTATTTTCAAAATATATGCACAATAAGATCACTTCTCATCATGTCCACTCTTACACCTGGTGTGAGACACCCTCATCTCCCCTTTGGTTTACTGCAGCAGCAAATTTCTCTGCTTCTGCTGTTGTATCTCAGCACTCAGAGAATTCCTTTAAAACCTAACTCAAATCACGTCATTACTCTTTTCAACCCTGCAATTACTCAGAATAAAACTCAAAGTATCGACAATGGCTATGGGCCTGTTTTCTAACTATACTCTGCCTAGAATGCTCTTCTCTCAGATAGCCACTTCCTCATCTCCTCCAATTCTTCATTCAACTATCATCACTGCCCCATTTGATACTGCAAACTTTCTCCTTGCCCCCCCACACCTGTTCCCTCTTACTTTGTTATTTATTTCTTCCAAAGAACTTATCTTTCCTAACATGCTTTGCGATTAACTCATTTTTTAACGTCTGTCTCCCACTCTTCCACTGCCTCCAGAATATAAAACCCTTGAAGGCAGGGCTCTCTGTTTGGTTCACTTAGGTACACAAAGTGTCTAGAATAGTGCGTGTTTCACAGTAGGCACACAATAAATATTTTCCGAGTGAATCATATTGTCAGCCTTTTGGGTTTCTACTGCTAGATGCTATGGTTCTTTGCCCATTTTTCCTTTGAGTTTTCTGCCATTTCCTTGTTGGTGTGTCTATTATAGATATTAGTCCATTTCTGTTACAGCCATTGCAAATACATACCTCCAATCTGTTATCTCTCTGTTAACTTTATTCATGGAGCCCTCTGTTGAACAGAAAACTTTTATTTTCATATAATCCAATTCACATTTTTGTCCTATACTTTATGCTTATCAAGTTTTACTCTTCTAAAAAAAAATCCTGCATCTAGGTCATGAAATATTCTATTTTTTTGTTTAATTAAGTTTCCTACTGTTATCTTTGTCAGTTATTTCTTCAGTTTATCTGACATTCACTTTTGTATATGTTGTTAAATATGGATCTAGTGTTATTTTTTTCCACGTTGTGGTCTGTTTATTAAACAATCTATTCTTTGCTCATTCATTTGGAGTAACTTTAATGTACATGAAGTTTACCTATGTATAGATCTGTCTTTGAACTCTATTCTTTTCTATCTGTTCGCTTGTTTGCTCTTGCACCATGCAATTCTATTATTCTATTTATTATTATTATTTTTGTGTGTGTGAGGAAGATCAGCCCTGAGCTAACATCCATTGCCAATCTTCCTCTTTTTGCTGAGGAAGACTGGCCCTGGGCTAACATCTGTGCCCATCTTCCTCCACTTTATATGGGACACCGCCACAGCATGGCCTGACAAGCGGTGCGTCGGTGTGCACCCGGGATCCGAACCTGTAAACCCCGGGCCGCTGAAGCAGAATGCCTGCACTTAACCGCTTGTGCCACCGGACTGGCCCCTCTATTATTCTATTTTTAAAAGTCTTGTTAGCTTGTAGTAAGTCTTCATCATATGTAGTATGTCAGA